CCTCCTCCTCCCGCAGCTGATGGTTCCTAATGTATTTTCCCACCATTAACCAGCCATAATCCCTGCTAATCATCACTAATCCACATCTCCTGTGTGTGACGATACCTCCCTGATGGAGGCGCCGTTCAGATGTGCGAGCACCTACGGGCTCAGCCGAAGCTCCAACCTCACTGCAGGCGTGTTGCCAGGGCCCGGCTCGGCGGAGCGGCAGGCTGCGGAGAGAGGGCGCCGCGGCAGCTGAACCGTGCTGATCCGCGGGTCAAATAGCTGGCTGTTGCTGTTTAGTGATGAGTTCTCCTCCATGTTTTATTGATTCCTCGCCATCGTGGAGGTTGTGTCCCTCCATACGGACCGGAATGAAAAAAAAACAAAAAAAACGCATGTTATCAGGAAACAACAGTTGGTGCCAGTCGCCGTGAACTTTCATGTCTGGTCAAACTGTGAGGACACCTTCTGTTTTCACGGCCACGTCTGCTCCACACGCCCGCGTTTCACATCACATCTCAGCCCATTATACAGGAAGCAGCTCAGAGGTTGGACGACTGTTGGAGAGGTGAAACAGTCGGAGGGGGAAGTTTGGTCCATAACATGAGGGAGTTTGGAGAGTTTGGACGTCAAGGTAATGGTACATGAAGTGAATGAAAGTACACAAATGTGTGAGTAGACCGTGTACTTGGTCCGTAGTAACTGTTTACTGCATTTCACTTTCAGGGTCACAGGGTCACGGGGGTCACAGCAGTCATCGGCCAAGGCCAGGAACCAGAAGCGTTCACACCATCACATACACAAAGAGACAAACAGTCATTCACACTCACATTCACACCAAGTGAACAGTTAATCTAATCCTACATGTCCAGTCCAGACATCGAACCAATGACATTATTTCTGTAAGGCCAGAGCACAAACCGCTCCTCCATCATGTCAACCCCCATGTTTCTCATCTCGATGTTCAACACTTACTTAAGCTGCGTACCTAATGAAAATGTATATTAATAAATATATAAATGAATATAAATACCTCTCTCCTACTGTATTCCTTTTCGTGTACTTATCCAGGTACTCTGTAGTACACACAGAGCTACTGTTTTTATAGGCCACTGCTGTCACACGTTGAGATGCAGTACATCGGTGCTGCAGTACATAGATGGTGCCGGCAGGGGGCGCCTGTGACTTACACTTTGTCTGGAAAGCCGTTGGCCCCTGGATGTGGGCCTCCTCGACCGCAGTTCGACCACGGCCGCCGCTGCAGAGCCGGTCCTCGTCCACTCCGCCACAGCAGCGCTTTGTCCGAGCTACAAATAATAATGAAAAATATAGAAATATAAAATTAAACTAAGGTTTTTACTGCTGTGGTAAAACAAACAAACAAACCATAAACTGATGAACTGCAGCAGAACGTGGAACCATCCAGAACCCAGTTTGATATGAACAATAAAAACAGTTCTAGGAATCAAACCTGTGACCACACCAGACTTTATTTTATTTATTACTCACCGCGAACTTTTGTTTTTTGTTTTTCTTCTAAAACTGTATCCTGTCACGTTTGCATCAAATCAACGTTTCCACTGAGACAGCGATGGAGTAAAAAAAAAAAACACCAGAAGTCCAAGAGTTATTAGAACCTGGAACTGATGGTTTCAGTTCTTCATCTGTGACAGGTTCACGTCCTCACAGAAAATCTGGATTTTTGTCAATTCTCGAAATGATTCATCTGTAAAAAAGATTAGTTTGTTCATCTGAGTTTTTATTTCCACATCCACGGGGATGGAGTTTTTATTTTGCGCTTTAATTGTGACCAAACACAAATACAATATATGTCTAAATATATATATACATATATGTTTTTTCTTATTTCTGCAGTCGTTTGTCTTTTGTTTTTCCACTGAAATGATCTGTATATTCAGCTGCTGCAGTGAAACGTCCAACTTTTAAAACAACTATAAAGATTTTTAAGATTATTTATCAAATAAAACACATTTTATTTTGTTTTTTTTTAAATTTCAAATGTTTTTATTTTCCTCCTGTTTCTAAAAACCTCAGTGATTTCTTCTTTTTGTTTCTGTTTTTTTGTTTTTTTTCTGCCGCAGCTTCTGTTATTGAACGTGTTTGAAACACGACCGGACTCTCAGTTTCTGGGAAGATAAAAATATAAATATATATATCTTTATATTTGTAAGTGTGACGACAGGGTTGACAACAGCCACTCAGTCACGTGGTTCGACTGTTGCACAATCTAAGACTGCGATTACACACACACAGAGAAGTGAAGTGTGTTGTGAGTTTATCAGGGAACGCCCCCGGGGGTCAGAACGGCACACGAAGACCAAGACTTCCGGTTCTGGAGTTCTCAAGTTACATAACCCATCAGTGCACGTCCAGGTGTGTGTGTGAGTGTGTGTGTGTGTGTGTGTGTCTCCTCCATCACCACCATCTGAATCCTGTTTAACTGCTGACGCTACAGAGCCGCTGCCTCCCAATGACGACACCAGACCACTGCTCGTATATATACGTTTTATGCAAGTAATAAAATATTACTATAACATAAATACAAATGTGACTTTGCAGTCTACATTTAGCAATCAACATACAACAGAAGTGGGGGAAAAAAAACAACAAAAAACAAAGAAAGAAATGAAGGAGAACAGACTGAGATCCACTGCTGAACAGAAGAGAAAAGCTCCAAACACGATTAACAAATAAATATATTTATATATATATATAAATGGTCAGATTCATAAAGGAAATCATATTAAAATATCTTCTTGGAATTAGTAAGTGTACAAAACTGCCCGGAAACAAAACAAAAAAAGAACAGAAAAAAAAAAAACAAAGAAACAAAAACAATATCTCAGAACAATTACAAGTTTACATATCGGACATATTTACACCTGGGAAATAATCCTGGCCACGGGGTTTTCTCTAAAATCTGTTTTTTGTTTTTTTTTTTAAATTTCATTTATTATTAATAATATTTTTTTCTTGGAAAAAAAAATCCGTCATTTGTGTTGAGTAGCACTGCTGAAGGCTGAAGGCAGAAACTGATACACATGACACGCTGGAGACATTTTTTTTTTGTTTTTGTTTTTGAAGATTTCCTTTCAGGACAGAAAAAAGAAGATAATAAATATACTTAAAGTCAGTCCCTTCATCGTTCGTCTCATTTTCTCAACTCCGATTCCAGTGGATTCTTATAATACAGTGTCTGTGCGGGACAAAGGAGAGCGGTGTGGATGGACTCGAACGAAAACACTCACACACACATTCACACACACATCCACACACACATTTAGGAATTAAACTAAATCAAAAACTAAAAAGGAAAGGAGAGAAAATAGTTCCTACACAGGCGTGATTTTTCCGACACGGGGAACTGGAGTTACCTGAGTTTTTAGAACTGTTTGTGGGTCTTCACTGTGTTTGTGCCTTTTCTCTGGCTGTTTTTTTTTTGTTTCATCGTGTGAAAATTGCAATCACAATTATAACAATAACATGAACTGAATAATAATAATAATAATAATAATAATAATAAGTGCTCCATGCAGAAAAACTCATGTGTTTAAATAATCCACCTCCACAGACGAACGTCTGCTGCTGTTGACAAACTGCTGCAAAGAATAAAAAAAAATTCAATTATTTTTAATTCAAGGTGTGAGAGTTCTTTTAGTTGTTTTTTTTTTTAAATCGCGTGTCATAATTTAAATACTTTTCTTTTTTTTTTTCAACACCAACTTTCAATAGAAATTCAAAACTAAACAGAGGCTTCTGCTGCTCTGGTAAGTGCCAGCATCTGTTGCAATAAGAACACAAATAATATGAATTATAATAATATTAATAAGAACAACGAGAGACGATGAGAAATCCAGAAGTTTCCAGAACAAAAAAAAAAAAAAAAAAACACCACACGGAATAAAACACCAGGATTCAGACATCTGCCCTTTTTCACTGCGTCTGTATAAAAACAAACAAACAAATAATAATAATAAAAAAAAAAGTTCATGAATGCCAGGCTTTTTCAGCTCCAGTGTCGGTCATTGTCGTTTCGTGGTGACCGCCAAAAGTTCACTCCACGGCCGCAGATGGCCTGAGCTGACACGGGTGGTCCACGCAGCCTCCCCTCTCCACTGCTGCCCCTCACCATCACCATCATTTTGGTCAACGGGGGGAGATATATATAAGAAAAAAAAAGAAAATCATCTTTGTTTGCTCTTTAAATGCCTGCGGATTCAGAGTTTTTTTCCTTTCTTTCTTTTTCTTTTTGTTCATTTTCAAAAACTTTTTTTTCCTCTCCTTTTCTTAACACTTTTCCCGTTCGTTCGTTCGTTCGTTCGTTCGTTCGTCGTCAGTGAACCGGACACCGAGCTCTAAACTAAAGGAAAACTCCACGTTTCTCACTGTGTCTGTGGAGAAAAAAACAACCAAAAAAACAAAAAGGCAAAAAAACTTAAATACTGTAAACTCCACAGCCCCCCCCCTCAACACACACACACACACACACAGATTTTTCATCTTCTACCCCCTCCATCCCACCCCACCCCGACCGCGGAAATAATGTTCATGAAAACAGTCACTGCACAGGACTCTGTAGTGTGCGGTGTAGAGGAGGGGTCTCTGCTTGGGAATATACGTCCTCCATATTCGGGTGCGGGACCCCCACCGGTGTCATTCGTTTCTCTTTTTGTCTTCTGTTGCAAAACCAAACTCGGACAACCTCCTTTTCCAAATGCAGAGTGCCGGCTAAAGTGCTGATTTCATGAGCAGATGGCTTTGGGCATTTTAAGAAATGATTCTCCAGCGCCCCCTTCACCCCCACCTCGATGGAGGTCCTCTTCTTTCGTTTCCTGCCCTGCGCCGCAATCTTGTCCAAATTGGTGGGGCTGCCAGTGTTCGAGTCTGTCTCCTCCAGCCACTTGTTTAGCAGCGGCTTAAGTTTGCACATGTTCTTGAAGCTGAGCTGCAGCGCCTCAAAGCGGCAGATGGTGGTCTGAGAAAAGACGTTTCCGTACAGGGTGCCCAAGGCCAAGCCCACGTCCGCCTGCGTAAAGCCCAGTTTGATCCGCCGCTGCTTGAACTGCTTGGCGAACTGCTCCAGGTCGTCGGAGGAGGGCGCGTCCTCGTCGGAGTGGTCCTGGTGGTGGCTGAACGCCTGCTGGGGGGACTCCATTTGGTTGTCGTGGCTGCCCGAGTCATCGTGGAGGGGGTCCCTCATGCCGTGGTGCAGGGCGCCGGGCTGGGGGCTCAGCATCGCGTTCAGGTTTGTGTAGCCGGGCTGCGAGTACACCAGGGACTGGTGGCCGTTGGAGGCGGGCGACAGCGGGGACAAGTGGTGCGTCGTGGCGGGAG